TTATTTTACAGTTAAAATATATGTTTATCAGATAAAATCTAATGTTACAACTAATCAGGGATCCCTTTAAAATTGATTTGTAGAAAATCTCTATAAAGCAGGGGTGTCAAACTCGTTTTCACAGAGGGTTACATGAGCGTTATGGTGGCCCTCAAAGGGCCAGCTGTAATTAACTTTGATGATGTTCCTTGTCTCATTGCTACAACTGAGCACCACTAAAAAGCAATAACTGAGCTGTACACGGTATTTCCTGCATAGAAACAGTGTTTTAACACATCCTCTTATAAACACTAAAAAGTACAAATCAACATGCATTATGGGAGGTGTACTTTATGGTCAATGCTGGATCTAAAGCAGCTTATAGAATAGAATAGAATAGAATAGAATAGAATAGAATAGAATAGAATAGAATAGAATAGAATAGAATAGAAACAGCCTTTAATGTCCTGTGCAGGGAAATTTGGGTGTAATGCAATAATACTATTCTATCCAACAAAATTGTTCACTTACCTAAAGTCAACAGCTCTTTGGGTGGACAAATATTTTGTTGCTTTTAATCATAAATTTAAAGTTTACCACTGAGTCACCCACAGGCCACAATTGGCCTGCAGGCCTTGAGTTTGACACATGTTCTATAAAGTAACWTTTAATTTAAGGCCTAGAGGTTCATGAAGGAATGCATAGTGCCTACCGTGTTTTACGCCAGAGTTTTAAGCTTATCTTATGTTGAGAAATTACAAAGTTGTGGATTTTTATGGTCAAAGTTGGAAAATAACGTTACGCCTAATCTCATGCAATATTGCAAAAACTCACTGTGATCGTCATCTAGCATCAAACCAAATTTGAACCCAATATTTGTTAAATTGCCTGAGTTAAAGTCATTTTTATCAGCGGTGTCGGCCATCTTGAACTCTGAGTTTTTTGGGTGCAGTTTTTAAAACTTTTTTTTTTAATGTATCTTTTGTTTAGCTGATTTCCCATCATCATGTTTGGAAATGAAAGTTCTCACAATGTTTACAAAATCAGATCTTCTAATGAAATCAGAACCACAATTTTATATTTCTACCAGCAGGTGGCAGTGSTGTACAACGTTAGAAACATTTTGCTCACAGGATTAATCAGTATATGCTGTTTCTTATATTTCATTGTATTATTAAGATGCAAAGTAAAGTTAGAATCTAGTTTTTAAAGTTAGTTTGTGAAGTTGTGTTACATTTAGAATCAGCTTAAGTCTATGTTTAGTATTTCAGAGAAAACAGTTTTTGTTATCAAGGTCAGCAATCCCTTCAGATTTAGTTTATTTATTTTATTTAAAATTTTTTTTTAGTAATTATACAATCTATTTTCTCTCATCCATAAATCATAATGGAAACCCATCAGTGAGAATGCCCTCAAGCTGTTGCAGCCTTTGGGTTCAGCATATTTTTAAAGATGACTTTGAGGATTGAAACCCCGGCCAGCTGAGCCAACAGGATGCTACTGAATCGTTAGTTGAACACACAATAACCTCTGCCAAGCAGCCGCTCTCCCAAGCTTCACTTCAGCACAATACAGCCGGAAACAAACACCGCTAAACGTKTGATCAGCAAACAGACTACACTCAGAAAAAGGGTATAATAAATGCCACTGTGTTAAAGTTTTCTGTTTGCTGCTTTTTGCCTCGCTAAGTTTTTAGTCTTTATAGGAAGTGACTCAGTGTCAAAACAATTCAAGTTGTGTGATTGTTAACTTGTTTTGCTCGTTTTAAGAGGTGTAAAGAAAGCAAAGATTAAAAACGTGGTAAAGCTGCTGCCAGTGACTCATTACGGTSACAGTGGTCACCACACACCTGACCGACAGTGAGACAGACAGAATAATATGATAATTATGCCTCTAACAAACATTAAGTTAGATTTTACATGTTTGTGAATGGTGAGCGTCAGAATATTCTGATGGTCACATGTGTGAATCTTTATGTTTTTTCAGAAGTTCAGAAAGGGATCCATGATTAGTTGTAACACTAGACTTTATTTGATAAACATATATTTTAACTGTAAAATAAAATCTATAAAAATACTGTAGGCTCTTTAGTTTTTATAATTTTTAAACTAAAAGTTTAAAAATATAATACACGGACAGGGCCATTTTATTTACACGCAAAGCATTCTGAGTAAATGATGACGTGGATAGATCCTCGGTGTGAGCGAGCTATATCCACCCTGAAGGTTAATCTTGGACAATATCTGACTGTTGTCTCTTTTTAAATGAAACCAGAGAGCATGGACAGAGAGGAGAAGGTAGAAATGACTCAGCCTGTAAATGAAAATATGGATGGAGGACAACAGAGCTGCTTCATGGAAGAAGAACCTCAGCTTAGCCTGTTAGCTTTAGTGTTAACCCCAACGCTATCACCATATATATGTATTAGCTCAGCGCTACACATTCTCCTCTCATCACTGAGGTCCTCCATCCACATGACACAGAGAACACAAAAATGACTCAGCCTGCAACTGAAAATATGGATGGAGGACCTCAGTTTAGCTTGTTTGTTGCGTTAGCGCCGAGCTAAAAAGGCAATTAGCGTCGACACTAAAGCTAAGGCTAACAGGTTAAGCTGAGGTTCTTCTTCCATGAACCAGCTCTGTTGTCCTCCATCCATATTTTCAGTTACAGGCTGAGTTATTTCTACCTTCTCCTCTCTGTCAACTCTCTCTGGTTTCATTTAAAAGAGTCRATCATCAGATATTGTCCAAGATTAACCGTCAGGGTGGATATAGCTTACAGCCTCACACCGATGACCTCGTCGACTTCTTCGTTTACCCAGAATGCTTTGCGTGTAAATAAAATGGCTCTGTCCATGTTAAAATATATATTTTAAAATTTACTAAACTAAACAGCCTGCATTACTTTTACAGTCTTTATTTTACAGTTAAAATAAATGTTTATCAAATAAAGCCTAATGTGGATCCCTTTAAAGACCAGCATTCTGTGACTTGTTTCTGAACAATGTTCCGACTGAGATGTAGCGCTCCAAAGAGCTGACTTCAGAGCCTCACACATTTCAGAGATCTAGCAATGTTACATAAGATTGTACCATTATTTTTACAGTTTCACTAAAATGGCTTCAGCTTTGTCATATTTTTCACTAGATGATCCTAGATTAAAGCATTGCAGTRAAKATGGTGGGCGATATGCATTTCTTCAAGGAATGCCAGTCCTTAATAATAAACAATGAGTTACGTTGTGTTTTCGGCACTTTGCTTATAATGTTTCAGCTGTGCTGACTTGTTCTCATCAAACAGCCTCAGTCGCAGACATTTCCTCTGTGATTGGATGCAGGTACAGATGATTTCTGTGCTGGTGCACTTGATGGCTTTTCTCAGGTTTTCTTTGCACATAGTTTAGAAGCTGAAAGAGTGAGAGCTTTGACGCCTTTCTAAAAAGCTGACTAGTGGAGCATAGTGAGAACGCTCGCTGTAATGTCGTTCTCTACCTATGCATCAAAGCGTTTGCTCCAGGAACTGCCTCCAACTAACACTTGGGCTTCACTTCTGATAAATCTGGTCATGTCGATGCCT